TGCTCAGTTCCCCTATCTTAGAGCATTGTTGAGTGCGAGCTGTTTGCAGTTATCTGTGCACTTTGACATGCCCAAGGGAAGGCCAAGAGACGTCCGGTTCATGTGTTTCTGGACTGCGTTCCGGCCCTCACCTTGGTAGGCAATATGTCTTCGGAAGGAGATTCGGCTGAACTGTGGGAAGTTATGGTACCACTGTTTAACGAATTCAGGCACGTCAGCCTTAGCTGGGTTCCGGGACACATGGGCATCGATGGCAATGAGATGGTAGACCAAAAAGCTAAGGCCTGCGTGGGTCATCCATTGTGCCCTCTGCTTTGGAAAGGAGTTAGCTTTGGAATCGGGCATGCAGCCTTGGCCCGCGAGTTGCGAAAAGAAGAATGTGGTTCCTGGCATGATAGGGAGGGATATGGGTATTATGCTCATGAACCTAGGGCACCTCGGCATCTTCATGGTCTCACCCGCATAGATTCCTACGTTTTAATGAGGATTCGCAGCGGGACAGGCTTGGTCGGTCATGACAGCTGTGAGGGGAAGGATAACAGACACCACTGGATTGAGTGCCCCCGTTATGCTGTAGGACAACCTGCTGACGAGGACTTATACAAAGATTCGGCGATTTCGCGATGGAAGTCCTGGTGGGTGAGTCACGGGTGGTTGGACCTGGGAATTCTCCGTCATGTTAGAATGGTAGACGGAGAGTTGGTAGTGGCAGGTAACCCCATTGACGGCACACTGACGGTGGAAAGAGGCGGCCGGCTGGCAACGGTAGGGGATCCCATGGCCTGTGCCCGGTGCGAGAAAAAGCACAATGGCAGTGGATGCGTTCGGCTGGGGCTGGTAACCATGCCGAAAAAGTGGTTCTTTTTACCCGATCAGTGACCTTGCGACTGTCCTTGCTGTGGGGCTGCGATTTCTGCGACGGCCACCCAGAAATGAGTCACCTTCACCAAACACTTTGAGAAAAAGCCCCACTATTTATGGACATATTACGATTGGTTTTGGCATTCTCACTACCAGCAATGGGATGAGCTGGACCTCGCGACCCAAACGTCGGTAGTTTTGCGGTGGGCTAAGACAAATGAGTTGTTAAAAGAGGAGCGCTGTTCATTTTGTAGAATAGTTCTGGCCAAGGGGTACTTGGACCTGGGGCTACATTATAAGAGAACAGAGGGATGTTGGAATAGACTGTATGTTTCTTTTGTTGAGTATGTGGGACAAATTGTGCTGGAGGCAGATAGGGGTGAGGATATGAGACAGTGGTTGGGTAGCGGGGTGGGAAGACGTGTAAATCCAGGGTGACGCTAGCTGTCATGAGCGCCCAGGAGCCCACATAGGTAGTAATTTTTGGATTTATGTTTGGGAGGAGTGGTTGCAGGGCAGAACAGTCCACGGTAGTGTAATTTAGATAGTTTATTTTATGGGGTGTGGGGGAGACTAGTCGTATGCCGGTGTCGGCAGTACTAGTATAAATAAAATTAGATTGAATTCTAAGTACTTTTCCTACTTATTACTTTAATGACTCTAAAACACTTTTACAATCTTTATCTTTATTGCAACAATATCGTTACACCAAGAAGAACTCTTCATGCAGAAGAGTTAGAGAAAACCTACAATAGGCATTTCCTATAGAAGACAAAGGTCTTGTACTATCGGTAACGTAGGTAGAGGCCTAGTGCTATTGTAAGACAAAGAAAGAAGAAGAAGAAGAGAGGTATCGTTCCCCGTCGCCAAGAACTAACTATCCAAGTAGGGATCATTACAACGAGGGAATTGTAGAAGAGGAGGGTATGGGATGGTGGTGCAATTGCAATAGTTGCCAGTATGGTGAAGGTTTCCAGATTGTAAAGGTTTCAGGTATCATGAAGGTTTCTGGTATCATTAAGGTTCACTGTGATTACATGATAAAGACTCAAACTTTCTTAATTTGGACATCTAATATAGTTTCTCCTTGGCCTGCAAATCTATACACTTATTGGTATCGTATTGCAGCAACTCTTTTGTCGTTTCCCTATCCGTCTTGATCCCCCCTTCCAGCCCATAATTCGAAAACAGGATAAGGGATGTTGACCTGAGCCTTGTGTTACGCTGCATAACTCAAGCCACTTCTGCGGTCGATCATTTCCCAGTCCGGTAGTGATATCCTTTTTTTATTCCTAACTTGGAGAACAATGCCAAGATATTACTTGTTACGGTTAGCCTCATACCCGTTGGTTGGCTGTCACTGTGCAAACTTAAAGTCAGCCTAGCTCCTGCTCAAGTTGATACTTGTATCTCCCTGTGGATCTATATGGGTTGGGCATGTTTGCGGGAGATCTTAAGTGGAGGTGGTGGTTGGGAAAATGGAGTTGGTGACATTCTTGGTTGGCTGGTGTTGATTTTTCGAATCCGAAGCCACTAGCAAAAGCCCTACCTGTATCATACCCGGTACAAACTCCTAGGACTTGCACCGTATCATACGGTAGACTACTCGAGAACACCTGATCCGCCGCAGAGGACATTTCGAGACACCGGACATCCCTTAGCCCATTTTCTGGTACTATTTCCTTCCCACCTTCAAACTCCAAGCAGCAGCGGCCGTCTTTCTCCAACATTCCCAAGCCCAATCTCATCGATCGGCTAGGTATCATAGGTTAACATACCGGTACTGTGTGATACTAGTACTGTGAAGGAGCCTACCGTATCTATTCCTAAGATTTGGATTGGAACTAGGAGCAGCTGGGCTAATTAACATATCATAAGAACAGGAGGAAAGCCTAATCACCACATTTTAAGTAGAGAGCGAAACGCAATTGGGCATGCTGCCCTAGCACGAATACGGCTTTTGAACAAGCGATAATCGCACCAACAGAGGCCATATAGTCTTGCCATTGGCCGCGCTAAAAGTGCCTGAAATTCGGTACTTTGTACAGACGGAGGAATCTGATGGTGAGATAATGGTATAGTACAAGATTTCTTCACCATGTCCGCGGGGGTTTCTCCGGTTTGCTCGGGGTTTTCTGTATCTCTCGGCGTGTTGGATGAGAGTGCTGGCTTCAGGGAAGCGGGGGCTGTGGAGGTCGGGGGTAGCCCCCTGTGGGACAGCAAAGATATGATTCCAGTCCAGGTCATAGTCTCCTTGCGCCCTCAGCCAACGGAAAAAGGCTGGCACTTGTACCAGTACTTGTACTGTAACGAGGTGTGAAAGTGAGGGGAAGAAACCAAGGAACTGCCTTTTACGCATTGGTCACGGCGGCACCGTACAAGTACCGGTAGGGTTTCAAAGTTAATAAAGTTGGGGAATCCGATGTTTCCCCGGCTCAGGTTACAATACTCCTTTACGTAAACATGACCCACACAAAAACGGTTAACCCACCATCGCTTCCTTGGCTTTGCCTTACCGCTACTTTTTGAGGTATCATAACAGTAGGTGTAGGTAAAAAAGATCTGTACCACCCACAGGACCCAGATATCCAAGCAAACCATACGTGCATGGGGCAAAAAGAAATATGGAAAGATCGTGGGGGAATACCGGTACCGGTAACTTCCCACTATCACAGCGCCCTCTCTTCTAGACGGGCGAGGCACCGGAAATTTCATGTACTCGAGTACTCGTGTAGTCCCTGTTAGTTTCTGAGACATAGATGGCGAAGGATAGTTCGACCCTATATGGTCCTGTGCATCCCTCAGTGATTGTCATCGTGGCTGTCGTCAAATACCGGTATCTGATATCAACTTCCGTAGTAACTTGAACAATTGAAGCTCACGCTAAGACGTCCAGGGTTCCCCTCTCTGTATACACTTTTGGATGCGGGATTACAAGTACTGTACCCCGTAAAAAAGACTGGCTTCAGGCATTCTGCTAAGACAAATAAAAATAAAAAGGCATCACACAACTGACCTCACTAGGAGGGGCGGTACCAACGTCCTAGTGTAAGGTTCAATTGTCCCGGCCTTTGCTTGTCCCGTATTGCCCGAAGTCTAACTTACACGGCCGCGAAATTTCGGTTGTCGATGAACCGCCGCTTATTAGCCTCTCTCTTCCAAGCAATTGATAGTGGCGGCACAAACCTTTTAGTGACTTGCTCGTCTATGATAGGAGATAAGAGCACTGGCAATTTTTCACCATCTCGGCCCAAATTCATACAACTTTGAGCTTTTGTTGATTGATTTCGAGAGCCTTTGATATCTGTAACATCCGCTATAACTTGCACCTATAAATTGCACTCCTTGCAAGTACCTCGAGCTACCCCGGCTCACCCGGACACAGGTATCATGCAGGTGTGATATCACACCGAGGATAAAGTTATTGAAGGGTTAGTTTAGGTCAGCCCGCAAAATAATCCCCGTGCTGCACGAAGACATCTCTCCCCTGGCACTGATATATTATCGGTGCTGGAAACATGGAGATAACACTAGCTATGGCCAGTTCACCAAGTAAACTAATGCGAGTTCCCAGACTCAATTGATACCGAAAAGCGACGAGAAATTAGAACGCCTACCTTGAAAAGAAAACCCCTACTCAGTAAAATTTAGCATGGAAAGAACCGAGGGTCTGCACACATCAATTGAGCCCGCCTTTCCAACATGGCGATCCTGCTCCTCATCGTGCCTCAGCGCGCGATAAGTTACACGTGGGAGAATTCCAAGGGTCATCGCCTCGGGACGCTAGACCTTACCCCACCAAGCTCACAATTCGACCCAGAATCCCCAAGATAAGCCCGACGAGTACCAACTATTTGTCATGTAATACACACAATATTCCAATTGGGAGCAGAGGCTGCCTACCGGCACAGCATTGCGGGGTTCCACCCCCCCCCCCGGTCATTGGCCTTCTCTTTTGCCTTCCTTCTTTCCCCACTCGTGTCCTCGCGTGATGTAACTGGCAGCCTCCATCCATTAGCACCCTGATATCATAGAACGAGCGACCCCAACCAACCGTACCCGAGCACTGTGCTGTGCTTTATTCCGTGTAGTGATTGTGGCTTTGGTTTGGGGTGTGCGCTTCCGTAGTCTATCGTGCAAATTATATAAAGACACTACCCCGAACTCCTCCTCCTCTCCTCTCCCCGGCCTTATTTGTGCGTCAGCCCTTTTCGTCTGTTTGTGAGATACTATCTCAGCCTCAGCTTTTGGATCCGTTTGCTCCGTCTTCCTTTTCTAACCAACGCATCAAACATGAACTCAATTCTTCGCCAAAGGGCGACCGAGGGGGAGACGGTTCGTAGTGTCGTTATATTCTCTCGACACGGAGACCGGACGCCTAAAATTCTCGGGACGACCAGATTGACGGCATTGGGAAAAAACCAGGTCTATGCTTCGGGAGAATTCTACCGTGCTCGGTACCTAGATTCCAATTCCACCCACTTCATCAAGGGAATCAGTGGGAGGAAGTATGTCGAGAAGGAAGTGTTTGCTTCTTCTCCGGATCAGGTACTGCCTATTTTTCCCATGACGCTTGGTGAGAAATTACATGATAAGCTAACGAGAATCGATCGCGCAGCAACTACTTGTCCAGTCCACCCAGGTCTTCTTGCAAGGACTCTACCCCCCACAAAACGTCATGGAGACCCTCGCGGACGGAACATCAGTCAGCACCCCCGCCAACGGCCAACAGTACCCCGTCCTGCACTCGGTTAGCAGTAATTCCCCCGACGCAATCTGGCTAAAGGGTGACGACGGCTGCCCGGCCCACGATCAAAGCTTCGAAAATTTCTATGCTTCGCAGCAGTTCAAGGACCTGTCCGTCTCTACAAAGCCGTTTTATGAATCCTTCGCGGATCTGCTCGAGGGGGTGATCCCACAGAGCAAAGTCAACTACAAAAGTGCCTTCACCATCTTCGACTACCTGAACGTTGGCAGGATCTACAACTCTACCATTGCAAAACGTGTTTCCAGCGAGGACTTGGCCAAACTCAAATACCTTGCAGACTCCACTGAATGGGCATTGAACGCAAACATCACTGCCGCGATTCCAAACCCGATCTCTATTAGTGGATCGACCCTCGCCAAGGCAATCCTCACACAGCTAAGCCCTTCCGTAACCACCCCAAGCAGCGCCCCCAAGCTCTCCGTGCTCTTTGGGTCCTACGACACCTTCCTCTCCTTCTTCTCTTTGGCCTCCCTCCCGTCTGCCAGTTCCTCATTCTATGGGCTACCGGAATATGCTTCTACCATGGTCTTTGAGCTCGTCTCCCACCCATCCGACTCGAGTATGTACATCCGCTTCCTCTTCCGCAACGGAACTCGCCCGGAATCACCCCTTACGGAATACCCACTCTTTGGCCAAGGAGGGCAGAATGCACTCATGCCCTATACTGAATTCGCTGGATCTATGGATAAGATAGCCATTGACAACTTGGACCAATGGTGTAAAGTCTGCGATTCACAAGAGGATATATGTCAGGCCAGGTCCATGCACATCGACATCCAACCAACGGGGCGCCCGAGCATGAAGCCAGAGCTTGCGGGTGGTGTTGGTGCGCTCTGCGCGCTCGCTGCGGTCGGGATCATTTCGGCTGCCTTGATGATGATTATGGGATTTAGGTTCACCAAGAAAGAGAAGAAGGCCGAGGTGGCCAGGAGTTGCGCCAGCACTGAGGGGAGTGTGGATGTTAAAGCTTAAAACGTGGCTCTGTTGTGTTTTGTGGATGTAAGTATTTATTATTTTTATGGGTGGAAGTGATACATAGGGGATCGTCTAGTTTCCTGGGGGTCACCTTGGTGTTTTATGTTTCATCTTGATTACTTTAGTTCGAACCAACTTTTCCTTTAGCGATAAAATTATTGAGTTTCTTGGAATCGATAACCAATGCATCCTAGCTCGTCCATTTGCATTTTCACAGTGTTGGTACGAGTAGTCAGGGTGACCAGTGTGACGATGAGCTTACGCCAAAGGGCTAAGGGCTTCGAGTGATTTTGGGTGAGGTCTAAACATTTTAGTTTAGTCTTGGCGGGCAGGCAGGCGCTACGAGCGGGGCCGGCAGAAGCGGGAAATGGGGGGGGAGGGGGTTGATTGGGTATCGGTACCAAAAATAGAGCGTTGGTTCTAAAGATTTCCCAACTCGGAATTATAAGTGCATTCTTTCAATGGAGTCCTACTCGAAGTAGAAGGTGTGAACCAGCAAAAAAGCCACTTCGCTATCGCATCTACCGGCACTGGGCAGCCTGGGCCATACTGTACCAGTAAAATACCATCCCGCACAGGAATGTTTTTAACTACTTCGCTGCCGTTTATGCGTCTGGGCGGGTATGATATGATACACCATTATTACTGCGCAATGACCTAGACTACTCGTACCGTACCCTCTCGACCCGGCTGTTCCGATGCCATGCCATAAATTCCATAAATTTAGAGCCTTCACGCAACAAGTCCGAAGGGCAGCTTCCAAAGGACACCAGAACCGAATTGAATTGGGCTTTTAACCTTCAGGTGAATTGATTGCTCGAGTAAGTCCATGGTTAAGACCCGACCCTCCCTACCTAGCCCTTCGAAGTCTAGCGGCGCAAAAGGTTATCATTTCGCAAAAGAGCCGGATCAGAACAGAGGACAACAGGGCCAACCGGAGGGCAAATAGTACTATGAGAGGCTATTGGGCGGACCCGCACTAGCACCAATCCGACTTTTTTCACGAAACCATAAGCCACTCGAGTAGGGCACTAGCAGCCACAACCCATACTCGAGTACTCGAGTATCGTACCGGCAACCCCCTCCCGCACCCGACACATCCCCTACCGAACCCTTCCCGGAGGCGCATCGTGCCGGAATTTCCCGGCCCTCCAGCGAAGCTCGCTAATCGCTGCATTACGCTATTGTGCGGCAATGACCGCGGTGGTTAGACTAGATAATGGTTTCTTGTGGTCCTCCAGATCGGGCTGTAATCTCTGGGGCGTGGGTTGATCTGGGGAGGCAAGATTCGCGACTGGGCGTGCGGAATGGGATCTGTGTAATCGGCGGCTGATCTGGAGGTCGAGTGATGTGGGAATGGACGGCGAAGGCTGTTTGCGGGGAGGATCGAAGGATTGTGTTGTGGAAACAAGTCATGAGGGAAGGTTGACACTGATTACCGTCGTGTCTCGGATCGAAGGTAAAATACTCGAGTAAATAAAAATGGAAAAGGTACGAGTACTGTACTGTACAGTACTTGTAACGTAGATGACGGGGGACCTGCTTAATAAGCACTGAAGCTAGGGGGAATACCGGCAACAAGCCTCCGCACTTGTAAGAAACATCTATCGGTATAATATGATACCTCGAAAATTTACTGGTACTTCAACCTTATATCAAACACTCGAGAACAGCCATTTGTGATCACCGATATTGGAATGTTTGTGTCTAGTTTGCCCAAAGGCACGGTGAATTGCCTGTCCACCGTCACCACCGGCCGTATCCCGGGGCTTTTTCTCAGGGACTACGATTCGGTCTTCTGCGAGGTGGTGATTCGTATCTCCTCCGGTGGATAGATAGGCGCGCGGACACGAGCCCTCCCAAGAACCTTTTCCGCCAAGGACCGCTCTTCGGGAATTGTGGGGCGGATATAGATGGCATCTGGGCCGGAAGACGTTTTCGCCCGATGGTGGTGAGGGGCAGATTGGGTTTGAAGAGTTTTCCTTTGATTGCTTGTTTCGCCTTTCGCCTCCTTCGTGATAAGTTATCGAAATTGTGACGCTCGGCCTCATCGCCGCGGATCCATTTCCTGGACGGAAAGCGAAGCGATTGAATAACCGCTGGGATTGGGAGCCACACAGAGGGCGGGATGGGCGAGACTTATTCCGGTTATTTGTTGTCACTTGGATGCAGAGGTATTTCATTACTCCTGTCTTCCAGTCGTCAAGGACAGACAGGTCACTCTAAATGCCTTACATTCGGCGGCCGGTTTTTGCTTCCATGCTTTTTTTCCGGTTCGGGATCATCACTCCTCTCGGCCTCCATCTCGGCCATCTTACCGCTCCGTCCTCCAACCGGCCGCCAAACTTCCTCCCACTCCTCCGCCCACCCTACTCGTGCCTGCCGGCTCAACATGACTTTACAGCTCAACTGACTTGTAGCTCAACACAACTTTTTTGTGACTCAACATAACATTGTGGCTTAACCTTAGCTTGTAACTCTACTTTACAAAACATTCTAGTTTACATTTGGTTTTTTTCAACCTTGGTAATCGCTTTACACCCCTAGCTATAAGCCTAGAAATTTTCTTTTTATAGGTTTGAATTGTCCGCCTATCTTTTACACATAACTTCATGGAAGAAGTGAAGTTTTATTGACCTGTAAGGTTCCATTCTGTTATAATAATATTACATTAAACTCCAAGGTTCTATTGATCTTCCAGGTTACATGAAGCTCTCAAGTTACATTCAACAAACCAAGATTAAGCTGTGATGTAGTTTTGAGCCACAACCGTGGCACGAGTACGTGTCCTCTCTTAGAAGTGCGCATCCAGAGGAACGGATGGAATAGTGACGATGAAACCCTGTTCACAGCATCATAAGTACTAGTACAGTGGATTGATTAATCTACAAGTATGGCTTCAGAGGCAGTTTTCAGAAAGACTTTTTAACAGTAGAAGTAGTATCGGTTCTTCCAATTCACACTGGTTTGAAATGTACTAGACGAAGGGAACGGGTTTGTTTAAATTGAGGTTGCTATATTATGCAAATCCACTGCGAAGGTCCGCCTCAACTACCAGCCGACACTCCCCTCACCCGGACGACTAAACTTGAACGGGGGGGTTTCCCGTGGCAATCCTGATAAAGTGGAGAAAATGTTTATAATACCATCGATTATTGTACAGGGGTATATATATGTTTAATATACAATACCATGACATACCATCGGTAGGGGTGATGGAAAGAAACACGGTCCCCATGCCCAAAACTTATACTCCCCATCGGGTGTTTTGATGCTTTCTGTCCAGGAGATGTATTGGCAGATGCCCCTCAGGTGTTAGACCACATACTCTCCACTGGAAAAGGGGGTTCAAAACTATAGTAGAAAAATTGAAAAAAAATAAGCCCCAGTTGGCACTAATTTCTGAAAGTTTCCTTCGATTTTTGTGATTTTTCTTGGTCGAATTGTGACTGTATATAAAGTGTCTTGAGAAAGCTGTATTCTTTTAAAGAATCGTGAGGTCAAAGGTTCTGCCCTCTTTAGGACAGAACACGCCCAAAACCCGCAAAGGGGGGTATAAGTTTTGGGCACGGGGACCGTGTTTCTTTCCATCACCCCTACCAATGGTATGTCATGGTATTGTATATTAAACATATACCCCTTTAATCCATGGTATTATAAACATTTTCTCGATAAAGTGTTGCAACTGGAGCGATCAGCAGGCGATTTCCTCATAGAAAATCAATTCGCACCCATCCGTGGCTTCGTCCGGCCCATTTCACGAGTTCTCGGTACGGTATTTATGAACGAGGCCGTTAAGGAATTATAACGTTTACGATACGGTGGAACCAGTCCTTCCAGTGGCTCCTCCACCCGTACTTACTTCGGGCTGTCCTGGGCGCGCTGGGGTTAGTCACTCAGCCCCCCCCCCCCGGACTCGTCCCAACTGCGGTTGACGGACGGACGAGCTCTTTCCCCCCTCACGGCCATAGAAGTTAAGCCCACGGTGTCGGGGCTATCATCATAGAGACCACAGCAGTTCGTATACAGGACTTGTGCTATTTGGCGCACAGCCTTCTGCAAGGAAAAGGCTTTATAAATCGCAAGCGGTTAGGGGGTTAACGCCGAATACTCCGAGTTCTATAAGGGGTTTTTCCTCGCAAATGTCGGCGATCCAAACAACCTCTTATCATCGTCGTTTTTTCCCTCGTGCATCGCGTTGAGCATTATGTGAAATAGTGATGTAGAATAAGTTACTTCTCAGCACAGCATGGCCCATGTACTGTACTGTACAGTACCGGGAACACCGTCAAAAACGCCACCTCCAAAACTCGACAAGAGCCCGGTCACTGCGACCCTGACAGATATAATCCTCAGAACTCCGGATAGCCATCGGGGAATACCTCTCTAATTATCCGCCCGTTTCTCGGAAACTAAACGGGGCAGCATGGATTCTCTCAACGGGGACAACTCCAAGAAACTTTTCATACAATCTCACTCGTATTTCGTTTCTGCCGTTTTTTGCTTTGGTCGGCGCGTGGTTCGGGTTGTCGGGCTTTCCCGGGCTTGGTCGTTTCATCTGCCGGGGGGGGGGGACTGGTTTAAGCTTTATTCCGCCGTGTGTTATGATACAAGGTAGCCGATTTCAAGGCTATTGATTATGATACCGGTACTTGTGGACTACATGGGTGAGAGCGTTGGGCAGGGGGTTTTGACCTTCAACCTACCGGTAGTTACCGTGTGCCCTGTGGGTGTACCGACAGCACATCTACTCGTAGTTAGAATGGTATGATATCATGCTTTCCGCTCCTTGCTCAATCATCTTTTTACAGCTGTGGATACGGTACTCTCATGGGGGTTTTTAGGTATGATATTGAGGAAACTTTTTTATGTCTTGCTCAGGGTGCGGGTGTGTGTATCCTTGGATGCGTTTCCTTTAACCCCATTAAATGGTTTTATAATAATATATACATTACAAGTAAGCAGCGCAGTCGGCGCTTGCTTCTTGTGAAATTTGGGCAAGGAAGGGCCAAAGGCCACTGAACGGCCCGGCGGCCCCATTTTCAGCATATATACAGTAGTATCACAGTGATAACTTGTGCTTGATTCTTCATCATCTTATTGAACGTGGCGGAGCTCTAACACTAATGCACTGTGCTCATCCGAGCTAACTTTCATTTTAGGGCCAATTTGAGCATAGTAGAGCTCGTGTTGACGGGAGCATACAAAGGTATTGCAAGAGTAATCATCAAAAGTTAAGTGGAACGAAACGAAATGGGGAGTGAAAAGAAAAAAAAAAAAGTAAATTTGCACAAGCGCAGTAACAGCACACTATAGCCACTAAAACTCCACGTCTGGAAACTAGCATTGGCTCGCTGGCAATGTATGCCGCACAAGCAAACAAATCCGCCCCAACCTACAATTCCTTTTTCAAGAAGTGTTCCTAGAGGGCCCGACATTAGTATCGCCCTCGAGGGGAGGGGTGACGGTGGGTATTTGCGTACTGGCTTGTGACTAGTCTCGTAGTCGACGTGAACATACGCCCTCTCAACATCTGGTAAGCTCTCTAGCTTGACCTGGAGCTCTTCCGCGACGTCGTGCGTGAGCTGGAGAGCGGTGGTGGCAGACATTACAACATCCACTTCGACAATGATTCTGGGCCCGCTGTGGTATGCCCGGACCGTATCGATCTGGGTAATGAGCGGGGAGTGGGTCATGGAGATGTAAGTGATTAGGCGAAGAAGGGATCGGTCGGCGGTCACGCCAACCAGCAATAGGAACTCGCCTGGTGGAATCATGAGTCAGTTCTTTTGAGGTTCGAGGGATATTAAAAGTAATGGGTGCTGTACGATAAGCGGCTCTGGACCACAATCCCAGAATCAGAAGACTGAGGATGATGGCACCAACTGGATCCAACCACCACTTCAGCTTTGACCCGCCCACGGAGGTGAGGATACCAAACCCGTTTATGAGCAGGTCGTTGCGGTGGTCTTCCCAGAGAATTCTGACCTGGGAATAAATATTCCTGAGGCCCCAGCAGTACAGGAACAGCGTCAATTTTGTGACGAAAGCGACTGCAACAGCAATGATGGAAGGTAGATGGAACTTGTTAAGCTCATCCTCTGCCTTATGCGTCGCAAGCTCTTGGATCGACACCACGATCAGGATTAACGAGACTGCGCACATGAGGAAACAAAAGACAATATTTCCCGCGTTCTCAATACGTGCCTTTCCGGAGGGGAATCTGTTAGGGTCCACTTTGTTAATGGCACGGTGAGAGAGGATTAATAGGAGATTGGAGCATGGATCAAAGATAGAATCAGCCATTGCTAATAACAATAGTTAGTATACCAATATATATTATGATCTGGAGGGTTGTCAAGGAGATACCAACTCGCAAAAAGTGACAAGGATCCAGAAGACAGGGCACCATAGAGTTGTAAGACGGCTAGAATGATATTCGCAGCAAGACTTCCGTTGACGGCAATCAAATAGCGGATACGTGTATCACCCTTCTCATCCTTTGCCTCACGCCTGTGCTCCTCGACAGGCTTCAGTAATTGTTGAATTGACTGGTTTTGGCTCTGGTAGAATTCGTGAATCCCCTTAACGTCCACCTTCTGCATTCTCTTATTATTGTCTCCACCATTATTGGCACCGGTAGTGCTCGATTCGCCAAGAGTTTGCTCAGCACTGGGGCGCTTCCAGCGCGCGGTGCGATGTCTAGCGGTCAGGTTATGGATTTCCTCTGAAGTCTTAAGTCCAGAAGATAGACTGAATGGGTCGGAAACGGTGGGTAGGTTCTCTGGGTCAGCGGGCGGATTAGGTGTTGGGGCGGGGAGGGGGTGCAGCTCGGTGACGGAGGTTGTGAAAGCCATGATGAAAAGGAGGCTGTTGTGAGTGATGGGTGGGTGAAGGGGGGGGGGGGGGCGAGGGTTTTGTGTTTGGCGGGGGAGGAATACGGGTACGATATTTTGAGAACTCTTGAAATCCACTATCAGATTATCAGCGGAAATTAGCCCTTGATCCCAAGATAGGTTTAGTTTGACAAGTTAAGGGAATTGCGAATACCGGTTAACGAGATCCAACACGTTTAGTGGCAGGAAAACGCAATTCTTTCCGGACCCTATGTCCCTGAATCCGGAGGTGGTGGATTTCGAAGGTCTTTTTTTTTTCCGGCAACCGGTAGATCTTAGACGGTGGGATCTCATCGATTGGTTCCAGGCTTCCGTCAGGGCTTTTCTCCGTCCTAGGGTGTTTGACTTTAACCTAAAATCCCACCGCACCAGTATCAGATGTTCGCGCGCTGTCGATCCCTATGGGCCCGCGGGGTGGACGAGATACCTTTAATTTAGGTTAATATGGCGGACGAAAGACACAGATGACCCTCTTGTTATTTGTCAAATATATTTATTGTAGCTAACCACAGCCTATGGGTGAACTACCGAACCAGCCTTGCCACCTAATGGAATTCCATGAAGCTTGTCATATCAGGTTGCCGCCCCCATTTACGAGTACTTAATCGCGATCACAAACAAAAAATGATCATAGTTCGCCATACCAATGCTCAGGTAAGCTGTTCTCCCTAGTCCGAATTTCTCTGTCGTGGCACAAGGAAGTTAAGCCCCATGCAGAGATTTCGGGGGTTAGGGCTCGGAGCGGACCGTGCTGTTTCCCCACTAACTTATGGTAGTGATACCGGCAGCGCAATACTGTACGAGTACTCGTACAAGTACGATACCTCATCCAGATCTATGGTCGCACTCTTCCTTGTTTTACTCGAGTACTGTACTGTACAGGTACTGATAATGAACTGCTGGGGTCAACTTTACCCCGGGGAAATGAGCACCCATCCGTTGACCCCTTTACTCGAATAATTGCTGGCATGTCAGATCGCCTATGCCCGGTCACATCTCATGTTCGGAATTATGGCACCACCGGGCCTTGCCCTAAAGCCGATTGCTTGTACCACAGCGGTTACGGCCCAACAGAACCTTGGAGTATCGTTGATTCAGAGGAATGACATTTGTGGATGTATGATATCATAATATCACTTTTAGACAGAAACGGGGGGAGGCTCTTGGATAGCCAATTATTCAATCGATACCTACCCTTTTTTCGCAAAACCATCCTCGGAAGTGCGGGCCGGGCCGAGCCGATTATGCTGCTTGTACAGTACTCGAGTACTCGTACGAGTAAATCCTCCCTTGCGGCGATGCCATCGATTCGAGAACCGAGCCGCAAGGTTAAGAGCGCTGTGGCACGAGAACGGTTCGTAATATAACTTACCACACTACGGTATGAGATATGCACAGAGAACCCAATACAGTAACTAACATCTGTCAATGTGCCCATGCAGGAACCGACGGAAATCATCCACTGGTATGTGCATGCGACTTAGCCGTGCAATAGGAAAGCGTTTGCCTCACATCTCGTTTGGCCGTGCGTCTCGTTCGTTCTTCCGTTTTTTTTTTTTTTTTGGTCTGGCTCGTTGGCTCCCTGTGCGAATATCGCGGAACGGTCTGGGGGTAAAAATCGGGGGGGGGGAAGCTATCCATATTTTTGTAAGCGGTGGGAGGCCAGGATTTGGTACTCGAATAGTCATTCTCGAGCAACGGTAGTATTTCGGGTTCGCTTAATGTTCCCAGGCCCAGTCCTTTGGTTGACACAACTATTTTCCTGCGGGAAATCATTGGCTTATTGAGTTAACGCTACTTGGTATGGCAACCTCAGGCGGAGAGACAGGGACATGGCAACTGAGGTTGTGGACCAGTTAATCACGGGTTAGCAACTTCAGCCATTATATATCCACTCAACCCAGGTTCTCGTAAGTTAGCCTTTGAGGAGGTGGTGAAGTTAGATATGATACCGCCTTGAATGCTGCCCAGACACCGAGGTGTGGCTCCCCGACGAATATCTAAACTCTTGGTTTCGTGTCGCTCGCCAACTCCTAGCAATCACACCAATCCATCTGGGCCTACAGTACCCACTACCCTTCTCACGGCCATCGCTAGGCATAGGATACCCCCTCCCTCCCTCCCCAAAAGAGGCCCCTCTCTTCGGGCCTGCAACACACCTCCATCATCCCAACCCTACATCCTTATCTCGCTAGAGTACATGATTTCCACCCCCCGGAGCCCCAAGCTGCTCCCGCATCGAGTGACTTCATATGATTGGTTGTCACCTTCTTCACTTCTCCGTCGCTGCCAACTGCAAGGCCAACCCTAGCAATACTGCTACTTACAGATCGCTCCTCTAATTCTCGGCCCACTTCGGGAGAACTTGAGGGTAGGAGTTTGCCTCGAGGCTGCCTGTGGCACATGTTGTATGTGCTGCTTTGATGCGAGTTTGGTGATTCCTGTGGTGGAGGCGAGCCAGGGCCACACTCGCTTGGGGTCAGCAGCGTAGGATCCGCGCTGTTTGGAGAGTTCTCAGCTGGCTTTGTGGTTGCGCATTGCATCTTGCCCGAGCGCAAGGGCAAGGAGCTCCTAAGATATCGTACAGCAGGATAATTTCAGGGTTAGGGTTCGCTGTCTAGTGTTGAGAGTCGGGAGCCAATTAATTGAGTCTGGATTGTTATGATATGATACCTCTTTGGTACGGTACTGTACAGTATCATACTTGTAAGTTGTTTAAGGGGAAGATGTTTGGATGGCATCCTGCTGTGTCACATTAATCCCTTTAGGAAGCGTAGTCAACCTAATCTTGCGCTCGTGTCTTGAACACAAGCAAGGGCAATCTCACCCTTCGGTCCTAAATAGGCACCCCAATCTTGAGTTCCACAAAAACCCGATCTATATAACCCAAAAACCAGCCAACTCCCCCCGGAAACAAAGAGCCTCCCCCCCCATCGGTAAACAAAAACCCTTGACAAGAAAACTATGTATCATATGGATAATATTCGACCATCACACCACGACCACCAAACATTTTGCCTCCCCCTTCCTTTTTCCTTTCCTCCCACCTCTCAGTCGATAGGACGCAGTTGGGTTAGGCTGTCGATACCAAAACAACCCTTCGATTGTCGCTCAATCGCCCAGACCCAATAACTTTCTCGATCGCAGTCGCCCGGCTGTCCGGCCAACCATACATTTCCTGCAGTTTCGGAACAACTAGCCAACCACCAGCCACGTGTCCCGCTTGTCGTGGTTGAACGGGAAAACCAGCGAACGAAACCTTTTGATTTCGGTGCGGCCATCAAGTACCGTGGAGTACCGGTACTCGCCTTGTGTGAGTAGAACGGGTTGGACGGGGGGCAAAAAGATTGCGCAGAAGTCAATACCTGTATTTGTACTGTGCAGTACCTGTTCTCTGTGATGATTCGGATTACAACACTTTTTCCTAAAGTTGGAGGCATTTTTTTTTCGCTCAAATCTACCTTACCCTCACCCCCTCCTACCCTCTTTTCGGAAAGTTGAGCACTCTGGGTCCCTTTTGATCTACTTATCTTTGACCGCGGTTGGATTGGAAGTGGCGCTCATGCTGGTTTCTTTGTGCGATTTAGTATTTCAATTCGACGCCGGCATACAGGCATCGGAGGGTGTCAAAATTGACGTCAAAGCTGTCGAAACTGGAGCACAAGTTTTGCGGACAAGAAACGTCTGGGAAACCATGTCAGCGATGTTGATCGACTATTACGCCGGCGCTACAAGCGCTGCGGGAGATGTACTTGTACGTACCTTTTCTTTTTCTTTTTCTTCTCTTCTCTTTCTATTTTTCGCATTTCCTGGGGAAACTTTGTATGGGATATGCGCGACGGGCAACCCCCGGATGAGGCTTGTCCTATCATGGCCGGCCCCGTCTGCGGTTGTTGTCACCTTTTAAATTCTGGCCTGTCGAGGACGTACATGTGTATCAACCCACACTTGCCGTTCGTCCACATTCCTATTTTCCGCGCCCCCATTCTGGATGGGTGTTCGCATCACTCAGCCCGAGTACAGTACGTACTATCGCTGAAATGCCCCGACTGACGGACGGGCTCACAGCATTGGTGCCAAAGCCATTTTTCACCACCCGACGAATCATTGTTCCATCCGGCCCTGGTATCGGCCAACGAGATCGATCCCAACCATCAGCCATTGAGCTATTTTTGCAACGCCCTCTTAACCATAGCGTTCTTCGCCCTCCAGCTGTTTCTACTAAACGGCCTCCTCCTCCTCTCCCTCTCTATATCCCTCCCGCACCTCCCACACCTTCGTCGTGAAGCAATCATCGGGCAAATCTACAGATACCTTTTCACCCCCTTCGTCTCTATAACCGCGCACATCCTCGGGCCCGCCCACGCGTTTGTGTTCTTCATCTACTTCATCGGATACCAGAACCTCCCTGCGTACAGGCCGGGAGAGTCGATTGCTCTTAGGGTTCTCGCTTCCCTGTTTATGCTACCGTTGTGGGGGCTTATGATAATGGGTGGCTTTCTTGCTTTCGGAATCGGCGCTTGGGGGTTGTTGGCTGGGAGGTGGCTTGCCAGGTTGAACCCCATTAGGCGGGTTCACGAATGGATCGAGTTGAGGAGCGTGGACGAATTGGAACGGGGGTGGGAAGGCCGGTCCAGAGGACTGCTCTCGGGGATCAGAACCTCTGAGGATCAGCCAAAGAAGCCCCTCACCTTCAGCGGGGTAATGGTGGTCTGCTCTCAAGAACCCGTTGCTGCTCCCGCGACACCTCTATCCCCGGTTTTCAAGCAGCGGCAACAACAGCAACAGCAACAGCAACAGCAACAGCAACAGCAACAGCAACAGCAACAGCAACAGCAACAGCAACAGCAACAGCAACAGCAACAGCAACAACAGCAACAACATTCCTTCCGAAGAATCTGCCCCCCGACCCCACCACCAGAACCGGTGGTTATCGGGCCCACTCAGGAGGAACTGCAGGCGCTGCGAGAGGGCTGCAAGCGCATCAACGAGCTCCGGGAACGCATGCGAGGCCGAATGGTAGAAATGAAGGTGGAGATCGACAAGATCAGCGGAAACACCGAACGGGGTCCACTATCTCCACCTTTGCCTTCCCCGCAGCACCGATACCGAAATTCCCCGTTAGTATCCCGAAACTCTAATCCTCCTTCTCCTCTACTGCCTGTGAAGTCTTCCTAACGATACCAGACGGCCTCTACACTCTATGCATAGAGTTAAAGTCAAGGTCTGAAGAAATCAAAAATTTTCGCGCGTAAAGCATCATCATCGGGGAATGGCGTTCAATTTTTTTCAATCTTTTTTTTTTTTTTTTTCTCCGTCCTTTTTGCTTTTTTATTTTTGTTTAAAAACCCATCATCGCCATAAGTAATCATTGTTTATTATCGGGAATTTGGGTTATTGGTGTCATTATTCATTTTTTTATCTGTTGTTTCCTTTTTATTTACTTTTATTTCGGATCGGAGTTTTCTGTTTTCAAGTATGATACGGCTTATATACTCGCTTGCTGCTCACTGGATGGATGGTAAACGCCTCATGCGACGTCTTCACGTCTCTTTTTTCTTCTTCTTTTTTTTCTTCTTTCTTTCTTTTTTTCTCCTCTTTTTTCCCGGTGTTATTATTACCACTATTGCTAGACGGATAATCATAAAAGTCTACCCTTTTTTTTTTCTTCTTTTCTTTCTCTCCGGATATCGCAAGTTTCCGGCGGTGCGGTAGAATCATCGTATGATGGATGACCTGTGATGGCCGATGGGATCGAGAATACGACCGGGGGCGTACGAGTAAGTATCGTAAAAGTATAGCGCAATGGGAGGGTGAGTGAGGCGCGCAGCCTACAACTTATCTATCCCCCCAAAGAAAACCAAGGCAATGCGCGCATATAGTCCCATCCAGCACAAGCCAAATGAATGGCCAACCTACTCACGAGCAGCACATCCATCCCCACTAGGGAAAAAAAAATTAAAATTAAAAATTTTCTTTTCTTTTCTTCTTCACCTCCCCGCAGAGTTTATATGATAGGGTTATCATAATATTATTATAATAATAATTATTATATAATATCATACAAGAGCGATTTTGCCCACCTTTTCCAGATGCTGACCGACTATCATAACCGTGAAAGTGTGGACGATACTGTAGGAGTATGATACGAGTACTGTATCATATCATGTGCGCGCTCGTCCAGCCCGGGGCTGTGCAGCATTTGCGCTGCCGGAAGGCGGGGGGACGGGAATGTATCATGGGGGATCACTCGGTTGGGGCGCTCCTGGTTGTCGCTCGCTGGGTTGATGGATGGTGCTTGACTGGGCAATGTGGGTTTTGCATTGGCTTTCCGGGTTGGGGTTGTGGAGGTGCTGTTTATGATAATGGGATCACCGTACGATACGTGTGTATACGCAGTAATTGTGTGGTCGTATGAGTAAGGGTAGTGTGGAGGCTATTTAATGTATGATGCCTCTGGTTGTGATGCCTGTTTTTTTCTTCTGTATTGTACTAGTATTAGTACCGCGTAATAGCATACGAGTAGATCCTGGCATCCACTGTATAATACTTGCATAGTAGCGGTGTTCCCCTCTCCGAACCGATCACCGTCCTCCCTCCCATCTTTATTCGGACTTTGTGAATCCTCCCAGCTCGCTTTGTCTCCCCTCTCGCTAATTACGGACCAGTGTTCGAGGGGATGGGTCGACAGTATATTATTAGATGGAGATGGAGATGTATGATGGGCACGGTACTATGGCGGGTCTTAAGACGCCCTAGATGGTATGATACAAAAGAAAATGGGTAGCATGACAAATTAATAGGTATGATAGGTAGAAAAATAGATGCAACCGACGCCCCGGGCCCCAAACACCGACCAACCAACCAACCGACACGGAATGAAACGGGATGAAACAAAAAAAAAAAAGAGAAAACGCCCAAAGTCAGAGCCTCCTCCCACCTCTCCGGACTATGGTAGCAACGGTACGGTAACTTCTTTTCCACCAGTCCCTCCAGCCACTTTGCCAATAGACAACAAAACCACACAATCAATCACCGCTCCCCTGACCAAGCCTCAAATCCAAACGACTAACCATCCTCTCATCAGACACCACATACCTCCCCACCGATCCCTCCCCATCATCCTCCTCCCTATCACTCTCGCTCTCGCTCGGTGGCGTCAGCACAATTCTAGGAATTGCTGTCTTCTTCCCGTGGCGCAGGTGCAGGAGGACTTTCAACTTTCGCAGTGTGTGCCTTATTGCGCGCATCTTTGAGTTTTTCTTTTTGGCGCTCGCCGGGAAGGAGGGGGAAGAGAAGAGCTTGGTATTGGTTGGTCGCATTTTCGCGGCGGGAAGTGGTGATAGGGGGAGGGGCGCCGGCACCGGCGGCATGGGGTGTTGGGATGCTGTGTTGCCAATATGACTATCGCTACGACTGGGCTGGACTGGGATGGTTTTGTTGGGGCGGTTCTTTCTATACAAGGTTTTGCTGCGCATCGCCAGGAGAGTATCGTCGTGAGGAGTGAGGGGGTATGGTTATTGGTCACTTCGTTGGTTAACGGTGGAGGAGGAGGAGGAGGAGATGGTGGTGGTTAGCTTATGGGCAGGGGGGGTGTTTACTGAGTTGTTGCGATTTATGTGATGTGATAGTGGGGTTCGGCGAGGGAGGTGAGGTGCTGCGTTGTAATTCATGAGGTTGCTAGAGGGAGGCGCAGGTTATGATTGGATGCACCAAGTGCTGGATGGATGGATTGGTTGGTAAGTGGTGTCGTGATGTCTGGTGGCTGGTGGTTTGGGGATGGACATTTAAATGCAGAGGAAGTTGCATGGCGTGGCATGCCTTCCAGATTGGAGTATCATAGCTTAAGCTAGATGGACATCTGGACTTGCATCATAGGTGGTGGTGGTGACTTGTGAGGCTGGTGTTCAAGATCGTGGGTGGCGTTTTGCCGTTCGCAGTGGAAATAAGGTTTGTTAAGCGTGCTCATGTGTGGCGTGGTATCGGTGGTGTGGGTGGAAGTGTCATGGGTCGGGTGTGGCGTTTATCACCTGAGGGATGCGAGCTTATTATTCTTGCCTACTCCGTTCTGTCATCTTTGCTCGCTCACCCCTATTTCCCCCTCCCTCCCCCCTTCGATTATTCTGGGATGCTCTAGATCAACAGATGAGAGAGGAATACCCATCCGTCGTCTAGCTGTATATCAGAAACAACCTGGCTGCTCTTGCTCTTCCACATCCTCAGGTAGTACAAGTCTTCTCGTTGATTAAATCCTCTTGGCAAACGATGGATAGTCCACCGATTGCTTGGCTGACTACCCTCATTCCTTCAGGTTTTCGCTGGAAACTTTCCTCCTTCTGCCCACTCGCTCCGGGAACCATGGATACTGAGCACACGTACAGTACTAGGTCCTCTTTCTGAAGTCCTAGTTCTGTAGTCGGAGGTAGCGTGTCGGCGTGGGCCGCTGTGGTTGTGGGTATCACGGTTTGCTTCTGTTTGGGTACAATACTCGAGTACTAGTACGAGTACAGTGCCGGTGATGTATCGGGACCTACCTTTATCTCATAGCATGTCCCCCCCTTTTTTGTGGTCCATGGTGCGCCACGGGCGCAAGGTCCGGCTGAATTGCCGATACTACTGTATCAGCAGGGTGCTGAGACAGCAACCCCATCATCGTACGGTGATTTTTCCGGTCTGGCTTGGAAGGTTGCACCGAAACTGCTGGGCACAAGTTCTCGACTATCCCCTTGGGATTCAAGAGCGCGCTAAGCTGTTAGGACACGGTGGATATACAAGTAACTGTGTTCTCATAGTATGCAATGAAACTCTGCGTTCCCAAACGTGATCTGGTGGTAAGTGTTGTAGTCTAATCTCATCTACGCATTAGAGGCATTCAACCCCAGGGTCGAAAAAGCGTTTTTCGAGTGTCAAATTCCCGGTGGATCTGCGGAATTTTTTGCAAAAGGGGAGCTATACACACCCAAGCCTTCAACTCGAAAAAACCGTATAAATGGTTCTCAGCCCGGGGGGTGAATGCCTCTGTGCATACTGCACTCGTCCTACCAACCGGAATTCCGAGACCACGGTAGCGCGTGGCCTTCCTATGCGTAAAAGAGAAGGTCCGGATAGGGTCGCACCCCATGCTACTGCGGAGAAACTTCGCTATCAATATTCTACTTGTATGATACGAGTACAGGTACTTGTAATCTGGAGCTGCACTGGTGCTACAGTTGGGGACTGCTGCTGGACGACTTTGTGCTACCGTCCTAGGGTTAGGGATCTGCTTTTTCCTACCATGATACCAATTTCACAGGGTCTCACTCATTCACCTTTATTAATTTTAACACAATTAGGCCCACGCTTGGTATCATACCCGCATTGGGTTCCCGAGCAGCTAGATAAATCTGTTTCCTCACGCTGAGCCGGAAACATCTTTGTCCGTCATTTCCGGCGGCTGCTAACTCCTCCACTTCACAATTCCTAAATTACAGTACAGCCGCCAGGGGATCTTAAAAAAGATAGCCTGTCGTGGGGAACGCGGGGTTCAATCCGAATAGCAATTTGAAAGATCTACTCGCTTGTAGTCGGAATATATAAGAATGCTAAGATTTCAACACAGATTTCTACACCTATTCCTTCCTTTCCTTAGCCGACCTTAAGTCTTTCTCTTACCAACTCCATTCGTTTCTCCTTCCTTCAACAAAATAATTGTAATAACAGAAAAAATATGATTCCGGCAATCTTTTTCTTATCCAGTTTCGCCACGGCGGCGCTCGCGGCACCGAAGGTTATTTGGGAAGGCAGGTTGAAGATGAATTTTTCAGCGGCCGATCTGGATAAACCCACTACTAGTCCGTATAATGCCGAGTTTGTTCTCGGTGCTGGGCAGAAGTGGTCTGAGCAGTTGCTTTTCCCGAGCATGAGTGTTACGGGGCCTTCTTTGGTATTATATAACTCTTCTGTCTAATTGGTGGCGGTGGTATTGGTGACTGATGGATAGGTGGCTGGTAGTTCGATTTGGGGTACCCCGATTACAGGAAGCCCATCGAGGTTACGATTAAGTATTACTTCCTTCGAATTAAACTATTTCACGAGCAGAACACTTATAATTATGATCACAGTGATAAATCAATCTTTACACCAGGCGGTAACGCGCAAAAAGGCTTCCGTCGCTCTGAACTCCTACCCAGCACCAATAACGGCACGGATGCTACGGTCCAGGGGACCACCACGCTCCACTTCTCCGTGAAAGAGGACGTCCACCGTCCATTGAACTACTCCCACCAATACGAGGTAACTTATCTCCCTCCCCGTTATCCACCTCTAATTCCAAATCCAATTATTAAGCCACCCCGTAGATAGTATTTATCGAAACAAACGACTTCAGCAGCCACGTCTGGACATTAAAGACCGGAACACCATTCGGTTCCTCCGAGGTCCCAGCGAAGGACGCGAGGACGCTCCGTCTCGGGGGTTCCACCGCTGGTGGGAAAGCCGAGGAAGTACTCTTCTCTGTGCCGTTTGACACCGGGTGCTGGCACAACTTTGCCGTTCAGACAAATTGGGTTGATAAGTGGGTGTTCCTGTGGCACGGGCTCCGCGATTGGGCTGGCTAACGCTCAATTAGTACTATTTCGGTATGGCACTCAACCGGCTACGGCCTCCTGAGTGAGGTTGTAAAGACCAGAGCGAATAACGCCACCGGCAAGGGCCAAGGTGAGGCTCTAGCCTAACGTATTCAACAATTGGATGTCGAGACTAATGATTGCAGCGCACATTGGAATCTTGAAATTGCCGACTCCACCGGCTACTGATCTTTCCCATGAAGGATATCAGCCATCGGACATCAACGAGGGATTGATATATGGTGGTCTCTTTGTCGAGGATTGGAGTCAAAATGGAGTTTCTCGCACCCCTTGGTAATAGCGGGTAGCCTGTACACTTTTGGATGGAGAGAAGGAGGGCAAATTTTATTCCGCACGAGCACCTGGTAAACGGTTTACTATATTTAGAGTGCTTAATGGAAGTACACCGCTGGGTGGTGTCGAATGGATTGATTATGCGATGATTTTATTGTATCATAAAGCCTAGAGGCTGGGGAGCACTAATTGCTTCGCCTTGGAAATGTCATACCAACTCTCATGGCATGGCCTAACTCCTGCTTGAGCGAGAGTAGAAACCTGTCTCACAGTGCTTGATATACTACGATATACTCTAAATTTGACAACCCTCCGCTGGTGATAACCCCTGGTCTGAAGCCTCATGACATATCACTCGCTATATAAACCATTCGACTTTTTTTTTTTTTTCCCTTTTCCCCTGCAACATACTCGAGTACAGACATCCGCCAAGTATCATAATATTATCATATGATACCATCCAGACGTAAACCTCACCCCTGGGTAGTTGCCGATAAACCCCTTAGTAAATGTCACGGCTCGATACCGTTTGTATAATACTCCGCATACCGTATCATACTTGGGCAACTCACCCACCACCACCCCGCCCAGTTTTTTTTCTCTTCTTTCCCCCTTCGAATTTTATAACACTGCACTGTAATAAAGTTATGATGGAAAGACTTTTCAAATCGAAATTATATCGCGCACGAACACACACACACACGCGGTAGCACTACTTTTGTCCCGCATGCAGATACGTAGCAAATGGAGGAAGAAAAAAAAAAAAAAAAATCTAGATGAGGGGGGAACCATTTATAGAGAAGAGTGAAAATAACAATCTGACGAGTTCGATGATCATCGCCCCCGCTCCTAGATTCATGGGGGGGGGGGGGGGGATTCTACATGATAGGTATGATACAAAGTGGGCAGGGAGAAAGTTCTCGTGTATGATATCATATCTTGATTCCATTGGTCAAGTCGATATTATACGAGTATGGTAGTATCATACCGGTGCCATGAGGAGGGTTCAATCCCCCCCTGCCTTGGTATGATATATTCACTCGTTATGGGACATAATCCACTCGCTCATTTCCATCTAGTGCACCACCTGTTCAGCAACTCTATACGAATCAGCATTTTATCATACTTTGAAAGACGCTTGTATATATACCAAGCGGGACGCATACAAATACACAATTGTATAGACTTGTGATCAACGACTTCTATCTAACTACAGGATTGAGACTCGAAAATATTTACAACTGCCGTGGGGGGGTAATTAGAAAGGGGTGATATTTAGGCGAGACTAGAGGAAGAGGATAAGGAGAGAAAAAGAAGAAAAAAACGGGAAAAAAAAGCATGATCAAGCCGTCCGCTAGTTTCCCCATTCGCGCTCACAGACAAAGTAAAGAAAAAAAATAAAAATACAAAAAGCCAACGCCGAAAATGCCTATGTATGCTGAGGTAAGTAGGAAACTCCAACAAAATAGAAAAGAAAACAGGACAAAGAGGCCGTTAATTTCTCTCAGTCGTCTAGAGATGTAGGAAATATAAAAAATATTCCCGTGGGGAGAAGTGAGGTTCTGGATATAGCATTAAGATCTGGCTGCGTTGGGAGAAGGCTGTGGGTCACAATTTACCTTCACCAAGTGAAACTCTCTTCGGAGAAGTCGATAGTAGCTTGGTCAACGAACTTGAGTGTGGCAGCCCTGACCGAGTCACTCACAGCGCCACCACCGCAGACAGTTACCGCCATGGCACCAATCCTTCGTCTCACGACCTTCTCGAGAACAATTTCGAATTCCGGCCTTCCGACGTGAACATTAACAAGGCCGCCGTGGCCAGCCCACTCATCCCCGCTAATTGTGGTGCTAGGTCGGGTGATATAGATGTCAACCTCGAGTACCCGGCGACAGAGTGGCATCCGCAGAATCTCTTCAAGCCAATCCGAGACCCAGTGGATATGCTCACTTTTTCTGATGACCCAAACCAATTTAACCCTCTGGGTAGCCACGGTTCCTTCGTTGTATCCGTGCAAGAGATGTCTAACATAACCCAGGCAATGGGTGATACCAACACCCCCAGCAACCAGGACCACTGTCCCGAAGGAATCGAGCGAGTGATGTCCGCCATAGGGTCCCTCGACCAAGCCTAGAACCTTCAAGACGCACCCGTTTTCCAGCTTTTCCGGGTCAGCAGTTGCGGCGGCAGACTGCGCAGCATCATATAGTGCTCTTGTGAAACCATCGTGTTTCGATATGATGAAGTGCATCGTAGTCTTTTTCGGGGTGGTGGTTTTCTGGGGCTCATGATGCCTCACAGGAAGCGTAGGTGAATTCCGTACCACAAAGTCTCGTGTGTTTGCGGGGATTGACCTACGCGGACAATTTTCTTGTAAATTATTCTCAAGGTTACAATATGTCTCTTGTCGCACACAAGTTCTATCGCGTGAGACGGCTCTCGCGGATACTTGTGCTGGGTTTGCTCCTGAATGGTACTTGCTTGGATCGTATAGATCTTTTTGGGCATTCTGGTCTCCGTTGACAATGGATTGGCATTGCGAACGGGAGACAGCTTGGGGGGTAGCTGTGGTGGGTGTTGGGTTTTGAGTCTCCCACTTGTCGGGCATCTGTGTCGCTCCAACCGCCTGCTTGGATTCCTCTGCGGATGTCCAAGCGATTGAGAACGGGTGAGATTGCCACCAGCCGATTCGTGGTACATAAAGATATGCCTATAAAAATAATTGTCAATTTTATTCTCAATCATAAGAAAGAGCGTTCATGCAAACCTACGTGAGTTCCAGGCCTGTACTTGAATGGGGTAGAAAGTTCAACACTAAACCTAACAGCATCCCCACCTTTCAGCGGGGCAACTTCAGCTACGTTGGAAAGTAGCCCCTTCCTTCTCCACCTGATATTGTTCCTCAAGATGCGCAAGATCCTAAAAACACGATCAGCAACCCATATCGCAATAGCGACGTTGCAGTAAACCATTTGAGGTAACATGTCGATATAAAGATGCCACCAAACGCCGGCTACAAAAAATGCAACGAGCAGCTGATGCATCGACAAGAAGAACTCATAGTTTGCGTGTCGTAGTGGCGAAGTAGACAAAAAGGCGATTAAGATGAGAGCAATTTCGGCCTGTATATGATTAGACCTTGCTCTCGGTAGGGAATAAATGTTATGTAAAAAAAACGTACCATCAAACCAACTTGGTAAAAATGACTGATCCTTAAAGCTTCATTTAGGCCTTCCCATCCTGCCTGATCAACCTTGTTGACTGTCCATGCAAGCATGTGTGCTACCGACTCCAACACCACAACCCTGCCAATCCAGCGGTGAAACAGGTTCCAAATATCAAATCCCACCTCAACTGCATGCCCAACGAAATTGTTTCTCGCCATGCAAACAAACAACGGAATCATATTGACAACAGCCATAACACCTGTCCTTCCTCTAAACTCAGCCACGAGTGCAGCCTTTGTCGGTTCTCTAAATCTTCCATCTGGGCCTATCGAGCCGTCCCAGGGAAGATAGAGGGTGCAGTATAGAACGTTTGACAGAAAATATAAAAATATTATAATAAAGTTCAGACGGGATGGCAGAGCCCCGAGGTGAATTCTGATAGATGGTGCGGGAAAGCTCACAATGAATGGGCTGTTGTGACGCAACTTGTACAAGGGCGCCAGGATTAGATGGCGTCTAAGTAGCGAGAACCATCTCCCTGATGGGAGGGAATAAAAATGTGATGCTGTAGTCGTATATGAAGACGCAACGGTTATTGCTAAGCGTTGGCTATTGATGTGATAAACAGATGTCCTGAAGATGAATAGTAACGCAACCACTGACCCTAGAGTTGCGAAAAGATAGGTCCTAAGAGCCAATTCTCATTAGAGGTAAATCTCCTTGTATATTCAACAAAGGAAAGACTGAGGTGTCTTTTGATATTTATTTTCCCAAAGAAATACACTTTTCGTGACTTACGAGAACATGAGATTCTCAAAATTATCCACACCCGTCAGCCCCCAGGTGAAATTAATAGTATCCGGGCTCATCCAGTCAATAGTTGGTATAGGATCACCCTTGAATAAAGACCTTCCTTCGTGTGCTGGTAAGGCTGGTACGGTAACTGAAGGAAAGTCTCCCGTTGGAGAAGCATATACTAGCGTATCGCACAGTAAAGAGAAGAGGAAAGTGAAAGGCTGAGGATGTTTTCGGTTCCCCATGACTCGGCAGGCGGTATTATACCAATCGGCCGAGATTTCCTATTGCGGAAAGGCTTGCGCAAGAGGAAAGAAAGTCTAGCGAGAAGTAGTCGGAATGTTAAAACAGAAGGATGGAATGCTGTTTTCGTAAACTTATTCATCGTCAACAACGTTACTTTCAAAGACATTATGGTGCGCAGCAATCGCACAGGGCAACGCGGCCATTCAATAGATAGATGTGAGGAGGGTGCTGACTAATTGTATCCACTCTTCAGATTTGTTTCGGGTTTTCCCTTTCTATCTAGTTCAAAATCTCCTTTTGCAGATTGCTTAAAGTAACGATCGCTTTTTAGATCACCAACTGCAAAGATGTTTGAAGGGAGACGATGGAGAGCGCAAATGGATATATTTTTTTCTATACTTAGGCGTTAGCGATGGCCCAGAAGCAGGGCGGGTGGGGGGTATGATATCTCTCTGGGGGTTGAAGATATGGAGGTTTGTAGAGTTCGTGGGACTTACTAGGCACACCCCTTTTGCGGCTACACATCCAGGACCTCAGACAAGACCAAGAAAGAGCATTTAATTGAGCAGGAGGATGTACGGGGGGTAGGGGTGGGGAAAGGAAATCGAGAGAAAGAATGGAGAAGATGGTGAAGCCTATGTAAGGGACATGGAATGTGGGGCGGGTGAGGTCGCTTGTATATAGCTAATGCCTACCCGCGAGAAGGTACTTTGGCCGCCGGCACTCTTCACACACCCAAGCCGTTATCCTTTTCACCAAACCTCTGTTAAGAAGCGCACCGGCGCCGGCTGGCTAAACGATGGGGGGGTGTACGTCGTGGGTTGCAGGTAAGATACGACGATGCACCCCCGCGCTCTTCATCCCCAACATCCCCCCGGAGTACTCTGTAGTACTCTGTGATAGCATGACAGCAGGGCTAACGCCTGCTCCCCTCCATCTCATCCTTCTCACCTCCAAC